TTTATCATGTCCATCTTTGCACAAAATTTTCCTCTAATATCTCCAATTTTCCTGAACAGATCTCTGGTTTTTCCTTTTCTGTTATTTTCCTCTATTTCTTTGCATTGTTCATTTAAGAAGGCCCTCTTGTCTCTCCTTGCTATTCTTTGGAAGTCTGCATTCAATTTTCTGTAACTTTCCCTATCTCCCCTGCATTTTGTTTCCCTTCTCTTTTCTGGTATTTGTAAGGCCTCGTTGGACAGCCACTTTGCTTTCTTGCATTTCCTTTTCTTTGGGATGGTTTTTGTTGCTGCCTCCTGTACAATGTTACGAGCCTCTATCCAAAGTTCTTCAGGCACTCTGTCCACCAAATCTAGTTCCTTGACATTTAATAGGTGGTACCTATTAAAAAAAATAAAAATAAAAAAAGAAGCTGGCCTTTGCGCCCACAGGGCCAAAAGGCTTCCCTCCCTCCCTCCCACTTAAGCCACCCCCTCCCTATCGCCAACAGGCACACACACAGTGAGACGAGGAATGCTCAGGCACTGCCTCAAAGGAAGGCTTTAAAAATCCCCCCCCCCAGCATTTTGCTTCTGCTGATTCCTGCTGCCGGTCTCTTCAGTCCACTCTCAGCTACTCACCTGTGCTGAGGATCTTGTCTGCAACCTTCTGGAGGAAAGATGGAATCTGCTGTTGGACAACTGTGTATCGCTGATCCCAGTATTTATCGTTGTAATCCTCCTGGATCTTTTCCTTCTGGAGCTCATGCTCTTCCACCATGAATTCACTGCAACAATGGAAACAGGATGGGGTGTTTCGGGTGAGGAAGGAGCCCAGGGGGCGGGACCAGAAGCAGGAAGTGTTGCAATTTTGCCCACTTTGAGCCTTCACATAAAATTACATCCACAATCGCCTGCAGCAGGTTTCTATGAGAGCAGCGTTGTATACATATGCATAGGGTTGTGCTCGAGTGGTTGGCAGTCAAAGGACTGGATGCGGATTGGTTAGCAGGACTGCAACATTGTGGGAGTGGGGCTTGTGGGTCAGGTAAGAGGGGGCATCATGGAGTCGGAATCAGGAAGAGATTCAGATTCTTGAAGGTTACAGCAGAAAGTCAGAGCTGGGGACTTCTTGCTTTATAGCCTTCCAGGAAAAACAGTCTGTGGTAGGGATTACGAGCAAATGCTACCTATAGAACCTAGAGTGATTCATAGAACAGTGAAGTTGGAAGGGGCCTCCAAGGCCATTGAGTCCAACCCCCCCCCCTTGGGTCAAGGCAGGGATCCAAATCAAAGCAGATCTGCCAGGTGACAATCTAAGTTTCTCTTGAATGCCTCCGGTGTTGGAGCACTCACCAATGTTCAAGGTCACTGGTTCCACTGTCACACTGCTCTAACAGTTAGGAAGTTTTTCCTGATATTCAACTGAAATTTGGCTTGGGTTTGTGTGTGTTTGTGTGCCTGTGTGCGTGTGTGAAAGACTGACAGTCTGTACAGAAATTAGTTTTGGTTTAGAAGCACAAAAAATCTATTTATATTGACTGTTGTTTTAACCTTTATTATCCACACTCCTAGAACCCACTTTTCCCTTCACCCCTTTCATCTATCGTTTCCCCAATAAAAATCCTGTGTATTTGCCTTCATTAAGTATTTTATGAACAACTAAGAATCAATAACAGACAAAGCTATGTCACTTCGAACTATACGTTGCCAGTGAGAACACAGAGTTTAATTGGAAGTAAGAAACACACTTGGATAATCTAAAATATCAGCTCAGGACAAAGAAAGCTCGGGCTGGGAGAGTAAAGAAGGAACAACTCCAAAATACTTGGCTGTAGGTTTTGCTTTTGCGGGGGGGGGGGGGGGTATTTTCATTCACATTCATGCCTTCCCAAGCAGAAGGAGTGGTGGCTAGGATTTCAGCCATTAAACGGTGCCTGAGCTGGTGGATGCAGGCAGCCTGAAAAACATGCGACGTATCTCATGTGAAAATGGACAGAAAGGGCAGCCCCCTCCTTGGGCTGGGTCATTTTCTGGAGTACCTCTTTCCGGCAATGCCAGGATGTGACCAGTTATCGATGCTTTGGGTTGTTCTGCCACAAAGCTCGCTTTGGCTCACAGGCAGAACCATGTGGAGGAGAGGGGGCTCCTTCCGCTCACCTGTAGGGATCATTGATGATACCTCTATAGATCCACTTCTCCAGGATCTCAAAGTAGGGGACGCTGGCCGCCTTGGTCAAGTAGAGACACAGTTCCTGGGCTTGGCTGTCCCCTGTGTAGTTGAACGTCTTGTCGTGGAGCAGGCTGAGGGTAGACCCTCCTGTGCACTCACCTTTGTCAACAGAAGTAGCTGAAACGAGAGGCAAACTCCGGATAACTTCCCTAGGACAGAATTTACCTCCCGTCATCCGCTGAAGCAGCAGCACCCCCAGGCAGACACTACCTTCTCTAGCTGCCATCTCCAAGGGGGGGGGATTCTCCTGCGAGTCCCCACTGTTAGAACAGTGGAGGATGAACACCGGCCCTGCTGGTACTTGGGAACTGGGACTCTCAGCTCGGGAACCAGAGCTGTTATAAGAAGGTGGCTCACTGGACTCAGGAAGTCCCTGCCATGGCAAAAGTGGAGCCTGGCTCCCAGGAACCCTTGTGAAGTGTGGTCTGAAAAACAAACTTGGGTTCCTTTTGAACCCACCATAAAGGATTCTGCAGGCACAGCCGAGGCCAAACAGAACCTCACCTTGCCAAGATGGCCAGACAACCTACTGTGCCAATTAAGAGCTGTGGCTCTGTTTCAAAGGCAAGCAGTCTGCTTTGCTCATCGAATGTTTAAAGCTAACAAATACAATTAAAAGAGTGGGGGAAGATTTGGCTTTAGAGAAAAAGAAGCCAAAGAAACGCGCAGGCTGAAAAAAACGTTCCCAGTCCGCACTCGGGGACTACCTGCAGATGTGCCAGGAGTCAGAACTAGACAGGGCTTTCTCACCGAGGGACGCTAGTATCTCCATAGTCCGCATGGTGGGCTGGATGTAGAACCAGAGCTTCTGCAGGGACAAGAGGCCCTGGCGCTGGAGGTGCTCCAGCTGAGTGACGAGAATCATGTACTCCTTGATGAGGGTCCTCATGGCTGCCGCCAAAGCGTGATTCACCTGCCCGTACTCAAAAGAAGACTTCTCCTCTATGAACCTGCACACAAGAGACACACTGAGAACGGCTCCACAGGGTGGGTGGGGAGGAAAGCAGAAAAGCTAACCCATCCCGTCTTGGAGATCAGCTTCCACCAGTCACAACAGGGTGGCCAATAGCTAGAGGTTATGAGAACAGCCATCCACTCAAAAAGATCTTGTGCTATCTCTCCCACTGATGCTGCTCTAGAAAGTTCCATCTTTGGGGACACAGAGGCACTTAGGAAGCAGATGGAAAAGTGGGAAAGGGATCCCATGAGCTGTTAATGCAGCTCAGAAAGGAAAGAGAAGACAACCCCCCAACACACACACACACACACACACACACACACACACACACACACAAAGTGATGCTTTCTCTGCAAGTGCCAGGAGGAGAAGGAGGAACAGCCACATTCAGAAACCACACAGAAACCGAAAGGAGAACCCTATTATCCACTAGTACGCTTACCCGTCTCTAAGAAGCCAGAAGCAGCAGGGCGGCCCTTGAGGGAGCCCCATCGCTCTGGCTGCAGAGTCTCTGGGCAGGGGAGAGCTTAGCCACCCATCCCAAGGCCCCGGAGGGGGGGCAAATGACATCAGCAGGCCCCGTTGCCTCCCTTTGAGGGAAACCTCAAAGCAACAGCTGGTACCTGGTTACGATGGAGTAACTTGCAGCAACTGGAAGGATCCTAGTGACCAGCTCTTTCACTGACATATCCAGGTTGGGGTCGACTAAAAAGGTCCGGTTCTCTCGGCCCACAAGCGGCTGGGCTGTGATATATCTGCCGTCCACTCCAATCAAAACATACAACAAGTCCTCCACCACTGCAGACTCTTGGGCCGCCAACGGTAACGTTCCTGTAGGTGGGGAAACCCCCAAGAAAACCACACGGACACGACAGCATGTGGGGCCAGTTCTTCCAAGAGAGAACAATGTTGGAGGGGTGGAGTTTGTATCGGGAGGGCCGGAAGAAGGAATTTCAGAGCCATAAAAATAAAATGGAACAACAGGAAGACCACGCCTTTCTACTGCCTGCACAGATCAGAGTAGCAGCTTGCAGGAGTGTGAATGCTTGGGTCTGTTCACCCAGCATTCTCTGAGCTACAGAGACACATGGCAAAGATGCACGTGTTGCTCACTCGCTCACGAGCACCACCATTCACTGCTGAGGAAAAGCCCAGAAGTGAGGTGGGGACTGGCTGCTGCTTGGCTTCAGAGAACACTGGAACCAGACCACCTTCCCTCCTCCTCCTCCTCCTCCCATCACACCCACCTATAGGCACGATGGTATCTGTGCTCAAACTGGAGCCGGTGAGAAAATCCCCAACCAGAGCCGGCCTCTCGTACACCCAGGCAGGAAAGGTTGGAATCGGCTGCCCAAAATTCTTCTTATTCTGCTTCTCTCTGAGAGCCTTTCGCACAAGTTCAAGAGGCTGCCAAAACCGAAAAGAAAAACAAACAATCTGCCATGAGCAAGATACAGTACAAACCTGCAAGGACACAACAAACAACCTTTCCTACATCAGGAAGGATGTTTCCCAGAGAATAAAGAACGATTCCTGGTCCCTGCACCAAATCCTCCTCTAAAGAAACAACAGCCAAGGTTGTTTGGCAAGAACTGCCATCCCAAGTAGGAGCCGTCTGAAACCGAGAAGAGTCTGACTGTAAAGAATAGCAAACACGACACATAATAGCCAAAAGGAGGAAGAAAGTGCACACGGCATGTCTCCGTTTGCCTTGAAGGCTCCCAGACACCCTAATCCACCAGAGACAGGTTTCGGGCAATGTCCCCAAAGGGGAAAGGAAGCCACTCTTCTCTCTGTGTGGGTATGTGCATGTGTGTGCGTGAGAGAGATTTTCCAGGGAAACCAAAGAGATGCAGCCTACAGGCGTCTGTGTCACCTCCAGAAAGTTTCTCACAACAGCACTGAGGCCACTTTTCTGTCTGCTTTCTTTACCGCTCTGAAAGAGAGCAAATTCTCTGTCGGTGCTCCTTCTGGACGACTTCTCTCTTCTTACCCATCACCCAAGTATTGGCCGCCCTCAGTCTAAAGCAAAAAGATCCAACTCATTGAGATGGTCTTCCTGGACTGGAGGGTTCTGGGAGGGCCAAGGCTCCTCTCCCCCACCGAGCCTGTCCCCCGGCGTTGTGATAACTCACAGCAAAAACTGGGGAGGAGTTGAAGGGGGGGAGAGGCTTACCTGCTGCATGCCAGAGGTGGTCGTGACCGTGCCCAGCTGCTTCCGTAATTCTTCCAGTTCCTGAACGGTCATTTTGGGGGAGGCTGAAGAGATGGAGAGGGTGGTGACGCCAACGCCGCTCGACACGGGATTGGCTGCGGCCAGTTCTGCCCTTTCCTTGGCATTCTGTTGCAAGTACTGAAGGGTCTGAGGGAGTCCCAAAGAGAAAACAGCCCTTACAAACCCGGGGCTCACATCACCTGGAATGTTATCCTTCCTCCCTCTCGGGGTGGTGGTGGTGGTGGTGGTGAGAAGGGATGCCTTTTGAATACAGCCTGCCATCTGGATGCTCACAGCCTCTGGGCTGGTGATCTGCTTCCCTGCTTGGCTGCGCTTGGATTCTTCCCCCAGCCATGCTTTCTCTTCAGCGAGCTTAGAAGGCCCTGGAGGGCCCCAGGAGAAGGGCCTCTGGCTTCCGGGAGGCCCTCTGGCTCTCTGCCTAGGAGGGTGCCGATGTGAGCTGAAGTGCCCTGGTTGAGATCCTGGGTCATCTCCAGAGAAAGGACTACGAGGGGAGGGGAGGCAGCAGCAGCCCAGGGAGGGAGGGAGGCTCTGCCAGAAGGGGTGCCAGGAAAGAAGGCTTCTGGTAGTAGCCCTCCAAGAACATCTGGGGATCCAACGTGGGGGGGGGAATGTGCCAGAGGACTGGGTGGGCAACCTCTCGTTCCTCCCCTCCTAGAGTAAAGGAAGCGCCAACTCTTCCTCCTCCCTGGGGCTCTTTTCTCCTCCACTGCGGCTGTGCTGGGGGTTGCAGGGCAGGGGACCCCTTTGGCCCAGGCATCCTCTTTGGGGGGCGGAGGGGTAGGGAGTCCCCTCCCCTCCCCTCCCTGGAGGGAAGTCCAGCGGGGGGCTGGGGGTGGAG